GGTGGCGCGGCTACTAAGTGGTTACTTTTTGGCAAGCCCGGATGGCGTGGTTACTGAGTGGTTACTTTTTGACAAGCCAGGGTGGCGCGGCTACTGAGTGGTTACTTTTTGACAAGCCCGGGTGGCGCGGCTACTGAGTGGTTACTTTTTGACAAGCCCGGGTGGCGCGACTACTGAGTGGTTACTTTTTGACAAGTCCTGGTGGCGCGGCTACTGAGTGGTTACTTTTTGACAAGCGCGCGTGACATGGTAGCATGGCTACCGCGTTGTTACTGTCAGGATCTTACGAGTTTGTTCCATGACAAGCGGCGTTTATCAAATCAAATATGAAAAGCTGGCCTTATAAGCCGAATATTCACAACAACAAACTATTGATAATTTCTTAAGTTAAGCAGAAATACAGGAGGAAGAGTTGCATTGATTATAATGTTTACACAACGAGAAATTCCAAAATATTTAATCTCAGTTTTTCGGGGATTACATTGAAGAGAAAATATTAACCATGTATAGCACCACTGCACACTAACCATGTATAGCACCACTGCACACTAACCATGTATAGCACCACAGTACTGCACTTTAACCATGTCAAGTACCATAGTACTGCAAATTAATCATGTATAGCACCACATTACACTAACCATGTATAGGGCGGTGGTAGGGCAGGGCTAGGGTGTGTTGGGTCCAGACATCGAGGGCGGTACATTACCCATGTCAAGTACCATAGTACCATAGTACTGCAAATTAACCATGTATACCACTAACCATGGTAGGGGCGGTGGTAGGGCAGGGCTAGGGCGTGTTGGGTCCAGACATCGAGGGCGGTGGGGGGCGGCAGCTCCATGGAGGAGGTCTTGCTGAGCAGCACATCACATCTCATAAGGCCTCAGGACTCACTCTGCCAGGCATCAGGACTCACTGTGCCAGGCATCAGGACTCACTGTGCCAGGCCTCAGGACTCACTCTGCCAGGCCTCAGGACTCACTCTGCCAGGCCTCAGGACTCACTCTGCCAAGTCACAGGGCTCACTCTGCCAGGCCTCAGGACTCACTGTGCCAGGCCTCAGGATTCACTCTGACAGGCCTAAGGACTCACTCTGCGAGGCCTCAGGACTCACTCTGTCAGGCCTCAGGACTCACTCTGCCAGGCCTGAAGACTCACTCTGTCAGGCCTGAGGACTCACTCTGCCAGGCCTCTGGACTCACTCTGCCAGGCCTCATGATTCACTCTGCCAGGCCCCAGGACTCACTCTGCGAGGCCCCAGACGAGGTAGTAGGCCAGGGACACGCCCAGCGTGAGGAGCAGCACGGCGGAGGTCACGAGGCTCCAGGGGAAGGCCAAGTGGTCCACGGTGGCAGCCTCCCAGTACCGCTCACACGTCAGGTACCAACACACGCTCCGCTGCAGCGACGCTGTGACACGAGTGACATGTTAGCGTGGTGGATTAAACGCTACTTAAAGTAGCGTGCAAAGTACCATTAAACGCTACTTAAAGTAGCGTGCAAAGTACCATTGAACGCTACTTAAAATAGCTTGCACATTACCATTAGATGTTACCCAAAGTATACCATGGAACGTACCATTAAACGCTGCCTAAAGAATGGCATGCAAAGCACCATTAAACGTTACCTAAAGTATACCATGGAACGTACCGTTAAACGCTACTTAAAGTAGCATGTAAAGTCCCATTAAACGTTACTCAAGGTATATAATGGAACGTAACATTAAACGTTTCTTAAAGTAAAACGCGGAACGTACCATTAAACGCTACTTTAAAGTATAGCATGCAAAGTACCATTAAACGTTACTTGAATTATACCATGGAACGTACCATTAAACGCTACTTGAAGTATAACATGGAATTTACCATTAGAGGTTACTTAAAGTATACCATGAAGGTACCATCAAGCGTTACTTAAATTATACCATGCAACGTACCATTAGAGGTTACTTAAAGTACCTATACCATGGAACGTAATATTAAAGATTACTTTAAGCACCAGCAATCACCTGAAAAATTTCATGCTTCAGCACCTTTTCGCTACCAACAAAAGCACCGCTCTGTATATAAAACTATTTGTTCATTTCTCTAATTCATACGAAATTCTTGCGAATTTAATATATAGAGACGACGTCTCACCCTCGACGTCCCGGACCTGATCCAGAGTGAGGTTGAGGACGAGTCCAGCAATGCAGTGCTGGATCAGCATCTGTATTAATAATTCAAGTATTAGCGCTCAAATTATGATCAATAGTTCATTTATGTTCGGTTAAACTGAGAGTAAATAGCGGGTTTATAAGTCACGTTCGTAAATTTAAGAGTAGCGAGTTCAAATTATGATCAATAGTTCATTTATGTTCCGTCAAAACTCAGGGAAAATAGCGGGTTTACCAGTCAAGTTCGTAAATATTGTTGTCATAGAAAGAGGATGTCAGAGGGAAAAATTATGGACGGGTAATGACAAACAAGGCACTTATGGTAGATAGATGCAGATAAAGTAATATTATGGCATAAGAATGCTATGCAGATATAATAGACTAGAATATAAGTGTCGGCACTGAAAAAAAAGGCCCATGGCCTGTTGCCGATTCTTGAACTTTTCGTGACTTGATTCACAAGGGATCCGGCCTTTGGAACCCGATCTTTCCATAGCTGACGATTGATTGAGATAGCTGCTGGACTTATTGCCTGGTCCGTAATTTGCTAGGCATTTTAAGACTGAACATATATGCTCCTGCATAGCTTCGTCTAGTCTGTTCATGAAGGCGTTCATACTCTGAGCGTCAACGATGCTATCAGGGAGGCTGTTCCACATGTCGGTGACTCGAAGCGAGAAGAAATGTTGTCGGGTAATGATAGTACCTCGGGTATGATAGTACGTGGTAATGATAAAACCTCATTAAGCATCGTAATGATAAAACCTCATATGGCAGAAGACTGCCATATAAGGTAGTTATCATGTCATAATAGTGCCAGATAAGGTAATTATGCCATAATAATGCCATACAAGGTAATGATGACAGCACCTGACACTTGGCCCGCAGCTCGGCCAAATGTTCCTCGTTACAAGAGTCCCGCCACGAGTGCAGGGGGCGCAGGGGCGCCTCGCGGGGCCCCCCCAGGCCCCGTATGGGGCCCCCCGTGTCCCCGTCATCCCCCTCGGGGCCCGGGCCTTCATCCCCGTCCATGTTGGCCCCACCCGCGTCGTCTGCGTCTGGAAGATTGAACGGATTTGTTGAGAACTTTGCAAACGATTTTAACTATTTTTTACTGTAAATTTGAAAATTTCGAAAACGATTTTAACTATTTTCTACTGTAAATTTAAAAATTGCGAAAACGATTTTGACTTTTTTTACTGTAAATTTAAAAATTTCGAAAACGATTTTGACTTGTTTTTACTGTAAATTTAAAAATTTCGAAAACGATTTTGACTTTTTTACTGTAAATTTAAAAATTTCGAAAACGATTTTAAGTTTTTTATCGTAAATTTAAATAAATGAATTATACTAATAATAAATATTGAACGGAAGACGATAGATATCTTCATGATATAATAATAAATAAACTGCGTTTTATGAATGACTCAACGAAAAGATTCAATCAATATCTTGAATTTGTTAAGAGTACAAATGGTTATTTGCTCGATATATTTACGTACAAATAGACTATAATTCAAATGCACGATGTTGATTTATAAACATACTGATACATTTACGTACAAATAGACTATAAACCATCTATACGATGCAGATTTTTAAACATACTGAAGTTTAAACGGTAAACTGAAGTTTAGAGATAAAAAACAGTGTCACAATCATGTGTGATGACATAATTTTGGTTACTGTCTCCATATTAATGGTCACTTTGACGGACACTGAGTAACATTGTGCTATATTGTAAACGATATATAATAATAAGTAAAAACAATGAAATACAGTGATAATTTAAGTTATATGTAGTATAAACAATGAAATACAGTGGTATTATAAGTTATATATAGTATAAACAATGCAATAAAGTGATATTTTAAGTTATCTGTAGTATAAACAATGCAATAAAGTGATATTTTAAGTTATATATTTAGTATAAACAAAGCAATAAAGTGATATTTTAAGTTATATGTAGAAATTTAAAAGCTAAGAAAACTCCACAAAAATTCAGCATTTCTCTATTGAAAACGTTTCGGAGACCAGCTCCATCGTCAGTTCGATAAATCTAGAACACAAATACAGTCAGAAAATTAATAAAGTTTGGAGTCATAAGTAAAAAAACAAAAAAAAAACAGAAGTTAAAACCTAAATTTACAGGCAAAGGGCAGAATTTAAACAAGGCTTCTCTTTAAAAATATACAACGATTCCAAAATGCGCAGATCGGAAGCACCAGAACTATAAGCTAAAATCTTAAAGTCAGTGTCGGACACTAGAACGTTGCACTGTTCGGCGTGAGTGCGCGCAGCCGAATGAGGGGGGCGCGATAGTAACTGCCCAGTCCTATAACTCCTCCCTTTATGCTCAGCGACCCTAGTGTAAAGGTTGCGTGCCGTCATTCCGACGTACGCAGATGCACATCGTGCACAACTAAATTTATAAACTAGGGACGATCGCATGTGAGAAGGGAAGGCAGGGCTAGGGCGTGTTGGGTCCAGACATCGAGGGCGGTGGGGGGCGGCAGCTCCATGGAGGAGGTCTTGCTGAGCAGCACATCACATCTCATCACGTCACAGTAGTCGGCCAGACATACGCTGTCTTCTTGCTGACACATCAACAGTGATTATAGTTATATATAGTTGTTATAATATCGTGTTATTCCTGCCACAATATAGGTATGGTATTATTATATATCAAATATATCTAGTCGGCCAGACATACGCTGACCTCTTGCTGACCCACCACCATTGTGTTATATATTACCTACTGTTTTAATGTCATCACATCGTGGCTTATATATTGTTATTACATCGTCATATTGTTGCTTATATTATATGTTATTAGTAAATCATACTGTTATTCAAATTAGTATAAATAAATTTTTCATCATTCACGAGTAGGATTTGAAAAGGTTTGTATGGTCGTCTTCGCTGAAAAAAAAAACAAAATTTCCTCAGCTAAAAATATTGTTCCAGTGTCGGAAATTTGACAGGTTAAATTAAAAAAATAAACAATAGTTAATATGTATTTTTAGATAGCTTAAAGACTTATATGGGGGTTCAATTGTTCATGCTATTATTGCTTGAACTTTGAATAGATGATGGAGCTGGTCTCTAAAACATTTATGGTGAAATATGATGAACTTTCTTAACATTTATTTGCTAGTGAAATTTATTGTCAATTCGCAATTTAAGCAATAATTTCATAATCGTTTACCTTTTAAAATACTATCAATGAAACAAACCTTTCAATTTTACCGATAACAATTATTAGGTTGTCGATTCCAAGGACAACAGGAAACCAAACCCAATATATGCATATCGTATAATACGAGATGCATTATTAATTTAAATTATTATTAAGTATTGTTATTATTAATTTAATTATTAAATATTACTATTATTATTAAATATTCACAAATATTCACCTCATTGATCATGTCGTGGTGCCGCGTGGCAAGGTGCAGGTCAAGATGCGCTTCACTACGGAAAGTTTTACCGCAACACGCGCACTGCCACTGCGCGTTGCGTTGTCGCTTGTGCGCTTCATGCGCGGCGAAGACGTCGCGCAGCGGGTGCAGGGGACACTCCAGCGGCAGACGAGACCTGACGCGCTCCAGCACCGGCAGCCAGCGCTGAGTGTAGTTGGTAGGGATGGTTCAGGAGTGAATAGAATAGAATGGAATGGAATGGAATCGAATAGAGTAGAATAGAATGCAATAGAATAGAATGGAATGAAATAGAATGGAATAGAATAGGATAGAATAGAATAGAATGGAATAGAATAGAATATAATAGAATAGAATAGCATAGAATAGAATAGAATGGAATAGAATAGGATAGAATGGAATATAATAGAATAGAATAAAATGGAATGGAATATAGTGGAATAGAATGGAATAGAATAAAATGGAATGGAATATAGTGGAATAGAATGGAATAGAATAGAATAGAATATAGAATAGAATAGAATAGAATAGAATAGAATAGAATAGAATAGAATAGAATAGATAGAATAGAATAGAATGGAAAGAATAGAATAGAATAGAAGTGTCGGCACTGAAGAAATAGGCCCATGGCCTGTTGCCAATTCTTGTACTGATCGTGACTTGATTTACAAGGGATCCGGCCTTTGGAACCCGATCTTTCCATAACTGAAGACTTACTTGGTAACATCTTATAACATCAGTTATACTTAGTGAATGATAACGTTATGACAAGATTCCCGTTATGACGAGATAACTGAAATCATCAAACTCTCTTCAGCTTTGCAGTGTATTACCAAATTTGTTACGAGTAATTACTTTTTTATTAATGAGATAATGGAGATGATAAAACTCTTCGTCTCAGTAATTTACTACGCATCCAATTATGAGTAAATAGTGTACTATTTAAAACTCTCTAATCATTTTCATTTTGTCTATATTAAATGACCAAATGCTTACTAAGCTTGTGCTTCTAATTTGTTGAGGCGCAATGGCAATTTTGGGCTTTAATGTTTAAAGTTAATTCGAATCTTTCCGGCTGAGCACTAACAGACACTAAACACTAAGGGGTGGAGTTCAAATGAAATTCAATAATCAGAATCAATGTTCGTTAAAAAAAGACGCATTTTATTCGAATTATGTTGCGATTAGTTTCATACGAACTTAAAGAATAAATGAGAATAGTCTCTCCAAATGAAACAATGTGTAATCAAATGAAACAATGTAATCAATCGTCAGTTATGGAAAGATCGGGTTCCAAAGGCCGGATCCCTTGTGAATCAAGTCACAAAAAATTCAAGAATCGGTAACAGGCAATGGGCCTATTTCTTCAGTGCCGACACTTCGATTCTATTCTATTCTAAGAGGGATCATCGGCAAACATTGGCCCAAGAAGAACCATTCTGTAGATATCGAACAACTGGGACCCCATATATAAAAAGTTTGTGGCAGTTGCATAACGGTATTAAACTATTGAATTCTTTCGAGACTCTATAGAGGCTAATTAATTTAACATAATACAAAAATGAAAATACATCACCAGCTCGCAATAATTCTAACGTAATAATAACAACACTAGCATTACATGCTATTTCATCGGGTATTGTTCCTTCGATAAATCTTATAACAATGGCGAACAGTTTTTACAGCAAAAAAAAATTTTTTTGGAGCATAAACCAAAATACCGCTAATTATTGTTTAGCAGAAAAAGTAAGGAAATGACCATGAATACAATACATAATTAGTAATACAAGACTAATTACTAACTAGTTATAGTTCTGACCTTCTCGAGAACTTTCCTGACGAGGGCAGCCTTCTCCCTGGGGCACGGGGAGCGAGGGGGCAGCGACCCCGGCCAGGGCACCAGCACCAGCACCAGTACCACCAGCAACTGCACTCATACAACCCAGAGATATTTACCATAACATAACATGACATGACATGACATAACATAGCATAACATAACATAGCATAACATAACATAGCATAACATAACATAACATAGTGATCTCGGCGCTGAAGTGTAGGCCTGATGTGGCCTGTCGCCGAATCTTTTCTTTTTCGTACCTTGTTCACAGAAGATCTAAAATCGTGTCATTTCACCGGATCTTTTCATGACTGACAATAATTTGAAGTAGCTACTAGACTTCCACCAGATTCGATATGATGCTAGGCATTTCAAATCTGAACATACATTTCTCCATAGCTTTATCTAGTCTGTTCTTGAACACGTTCATACTTGGAGCGCCAACGATGTCATCGGGGAGGCTGTTCCACATGTCATCGTAAGTGAGATGCACTTTTTGTGTCCTTATTTAGATCATCCTGACCCAGTTCGGCTGAAAACAAGAGCGTATCAATGCTATGGCCACAAAGTGTGTCACTATTTGGACAATTTGACCTATTCATTAATCTGATTGTTACCCCACCCCTCATACCGAATATTTTTTGTGGCCTTCGACTCGTTATTGCTTGCTTCTTTAATCCCGATTCTTTTAGTCATACCCAATATCATTTTCCCCCTTTTTACATTCGATAATCTGAACAATCTCTGAAATTTAACTCATAATTACTGCAGCATAAAAAGAAAATGAAAGACAACGGATAAATACATTAGTTATACACGACTACAAACAGAAGATGAATACCGAGGACGATTTTTTTCACAACAAACGCAACTCTACTAAAGAAAAAATTGATTGCGAATCAGTGACGCAAAAGTGTGCATAAAGCAAAGGTAATGGGTGAAAATATACATTGCATTTCACCGACATGAAATTCTCAGAAACACTCTACATTAATACATTATTAGGAATAGACAGATGCCATACAGAAACTCTATGTATTTTCAATATAAAATAATTTGGCATTAGTAACAAATACGTCAATGGCTTGCTATTAATCCTGGTTTGTTTCTAACTAGGTAAAGCGTTCAATTATCGTAATAGTTATCCTTTATGAATCCTTTGAAGAGGATTAATTCGGCGGATGTTTACATAAAAAAATTACAGTTAGATAGTATTTAAAAAATACTATCCGAAGCTACAGCCCGATGCTCTAGTCTAGAGCAACAATTAAATCCAATCATTAGTATTAGTTTAGAAATATTGGATCTTAAGCGTGCCGACGCGATTACCCAAAACAGTGAAGTTCAAATGACACATTTTTCGGTGAGTTTTAGCCGCTACAGTGACTACACAGTCACTAGCGCGGGAGCAGCAACCACTACAACACTCACCCTGAGATACCAGTCACTAGTGAGGGAGCAGCAACCACTACAACACTCACCCTGAGGCACCAGTCACTAGTGAGGGAGCAGCAACCACTACAACACTCACCCTCAGGTACCAGTTACTCATGTAGGTGACTATGACGTGAGTGATGCGAGGTACCGCAAAGAAGCACCGTCGTAGGCTCCGTAGCTGCATTAGGGTATTATTTTATTTATATATCAGTCGCTTCACTGCCCTAAGTTGTTTAAACATTAAAATTTCAGAGATGAAATTCGACAAAAAATATCACATGCTAAAGAAAACTTGGAAACAAAATTCGCTAAGGGTAGGATTCGAGACCAATATCGTCAACACGTCGACTTTCTTCAACAATTTGCAGATCAATGCGGATGTCGATAACCACAGCGGAAAAATCAGACATTATAGATGACCACAATCATTTCCATGCAGCAACAAATCCCAGCCATAATTTAAGCCATAAAATATGAAGGTAAATAGCAACGTACGAGTCCTCGAAAAACTGTCGTAAAACGGTCTTCCGGCATAACAATTGCCAGCCAGCACGTGAAAAAACACCGTTACTCCGTTTTTTCAAGTCAAGACATGAAACCCGCACAATATTTGAAATAACGGCGAATCAGTTTATTTTCTCGGAGGGGCCGGCCACTGGAACGCCGATCAGACCGTTTTATTCACCCTTGTTAAGATGCTTATACACGGAAATAGTATTATCCGTTGGTAGTATCGGCAAGTGCTTCTTACTTCGAAATTCCTGCCATTTCTCTTAATTTTTAGCCAGCATTTTAGATAATTTCGATTAAATTACTTATTAAAAATGCAAATAGAGAATTATTTATTTAATTTTATCCCAACTTTCGAAGTGAAATATACTTGCCACTACCACTATCGGCAATCACTCTCCCCGTGCATAATCACATTTATTTCGAACAGTGCACACACAATCACGCCTCGCGCTCAGTTAACAGGTCTCACCTCGATGTGCACGACGCGCGTTTGCTTCATGTCGCCGCCGAGGTTGCCGGCCTCAAGCTGCCGCCGCTGCACGCGATCGTGCTTGTCTAATGCCTGCGACAAATCAATGCGTGATAAGTAAGTGTTTATTGATACGGATCATGATAAACTCGTAACAAAATAATTCGATAGATGAGAAATTACATCTCAATTATTGTTGGAATAAATCACCGGCCTGGCCTATAACATGGAAACAAAGTTCAATCGACGTATAATGACGAGATAACGCTGATTCAACGTCAGATGCCTAGAGTGAAATTTTAAGCGTTATAATGTTTATTGATATGTTTTTGGATCGCAGGTTGACTCGCTCGGTAGGAGCTCGTGTATTACTCAATAAAATATTTTTTTAATGTTAAATACGATCCATAATCTGTAAAATAAGCGTTGGGAATAAGTGCCGCAAGCGTGAATGAGTTCTGTGCGATGTGTTTTACCCAAGAGTATTGAAAAATATGTAAATAAATGAAAATAGTTTTTAAAGTCGATAGGCATTTATTTTTAAACAAATCGGGTAAATCTCTCGATGTCGTAGCTCCAGAACGAAAGGAATTATTGCTTAATGGGCAGAAAATTTCAAGGATTCAGGAGAGTCAAACAAATGAAACCGATAAAAAAAGTTGATGCTAAACACACCTGCTTGGAGTTTGATACAGTGATGCTTTTTAATGTACAACATTATGACAATCTGCGAACCTATCAATTTGAAAAAATATTCTCATATATACAGATTGTCAGAATTTTCTATAACTTAGAAATCTTTTTAAGTACAAACCAATGCATGTAAATTGTACCCACATACGAGCTGCATTATAAACATCTTGATCAGATCTACAATATCAGCAAAAATAAAAATAAAAAATTGATGTGTTGATTATTTGTTTTAGGCCTGAGGAGTAAATAATAAATAAATAATAATAATAAAATGTAAATACTCTGCCGTCATCTAGCTACACATAATAATTAATGATAGTTATTAATTAATAATTTGTCTGTAAGTGCCAACGAATTGGTTATTAGAGTGAATGGTTCAAGTCAACAATGTGCAAGGCACATGTGTTCTGTTGAAGCCTCGTGCATCATATGTGATACCAGCAGTCATTTTCGTCACGATTGGCTTGCAATATGCCAGCAACACAGCAGTGCCGAATATAAAATAACTAATAAATCATTGCAATGCAATACTTGAGGTCATATAAACAAAACTGTTGAAAATGTATTAACAACCAATAATAAGACATATGCTATTCACCATAAATGTGGCAAATGATCTGTGGTAATGAGGCTGAAATAATAGTTTCTTTCCATTAGTGATTTTATTTTCAACTGGAATGACTCCCATGTTGAACTATTGTACGGATTATAATTTTATTTCATTGATGGTAAGAAGCACCGAGGTGTTCGCGATGTTGGTCCGAAATGGTAAGTAGATTAAAGTTTATTTACAAACATACACGAGTTGTAGTATTTATTGAAATCAATTGGTCAATTAACAGTGTAGAAATTTCCTCACAAACATCATAGCGTTGCTAAAGACATAACCACGAATTTTATTTCCCAGGTAGCGATCCGTGTTATAGCTGGCCAATGGGCGGTAACTGCGAGTCTAATCGATAGCGAACAAACGGCGTCAACGAACGCTTGTCGATACAGCCTTATAGCCGAGCGTTTGCGACATGACTGCAAGTTTGGTGCAATGGAAATGAAAAAATGCTACCATGGACCGAGAAAGGCATAGCGTTAATCTTGAACCGAAAAAGTTATCAACTTTGGTGGCCATATTACCAGCCGCTATCACGGGCCAACGACGACACATGGTGCAGGATTGCTTCAATTCCTATAGAAGGAATAATTGAAGTCTAATCAGTAAACTTAAATTCAAAATTTACTTTCATCGATTTAATTGACCTCGAAGAATTTTTTATCAATTCATTTAAGTATATTCATCTAATCATAAAAATTTCACTTGTTAACTTGTTTTTAGTCTTGATATAATTCTCTGAATAACGTTTTTATTTCGCAGGTGACGAAAATCGTAGAAGTGCCAACCACTAATAAGGCAGAAGTTGAAACGAAATAATGGAAATCTGCAACGTGAACCTCTCCGTAAGAGTGCAGTTTCAATTAAATTATGTCCGAAAATACTCTTGAAAGAAGATTTATACTAAGATTTTCCCCACTCACTCACGATATTTTCCCCCTAAGATTTGCTCGAATGTAGGGTTCCCGCTATATGGTTCGGCCGCCAGCCCCTCGCAAGCGTTGAAATATTCACAACTCGCGGTCCATGAAGCCCGCACCACGAGAAGGCTGGAACTTTCTAGGGTGCTATATAGCTGCGTTACTAGTTTGGTGCAGCTTAATCCGTAAACAAAACTTATGGACTAAGTTCCCCATTATTATATAGTACGTATCGAAATCTATTTACCCTAATGTTTTTTCCCCTTATAACACATTATTAAATTTCCAGGCAACTTATTCTCAACGTTAAAATCACATTGTTCCTGAGTGAGAAAAGGCTTGCCAAAGTATACTGACATGTTCGTATATGTGTGTAATAATGTTTTTCCTTCACTGGGTGTCTCACTGTCATCAATTTCTTGTACCGTTAGATGAATTGGTTTCACCGTCATCCATTATTAGCGCATTTTCTCATTTATGGAAAAAATGCACTATTGTACTTGCCATGTCCGTCCGTCTGTCCGTCCGTCCGTGACCTCAAGTTTTCGTCGCCGAGAAAATGCGCTCTTTGTCACTCACTGCAGTGAGTACTGAGTTATATTTTTTATACTTATTGACATCACGGTTTACCGGTCGGCCAAATCAATCTCTCAAGTTCCATTCATGGCTCAGTTTTCCAGTTTACATTTCATTAACACATTTCTAACTCATGTTTCCCAAATCCCAATCATGAATCATCCATAATGTTCACTCAAGTATATTTTCATCAAAACGCACTCATGTCAGGCAGCCATATATGATATTCAGCGTCACCTGACTGATCATATATTTCTACCTGAACCTTAGGATAGGAATTCGTTGACTAAGTGCGTGAGGGATAAGTAAGACACTTCCTTATATAGAACTTTTCTTGATACGGGGCTCAATACATGAGAGATACAATATAGGAATAAGCTAAGACGTCGACAGTCAGGCAGGATTTCGGAGTAGCTCTAACGCGAGTTAAATGGCGGCGTAGTTGTCAGTTACTGGGGGCTTAATAAAGTTACCAGCCCTTTTATAGAATTATGACTTCCGTCCACCGGCACCGGGTTTTTGTCCTCGTGAAATATATGTTGTACAAGCTGTCTTAGGCAAGCTCTCAGTCTCAGTGACACAGTAGAAACTTAGCTAACCAAGTCTATTGTTATTTTGCCTGGTAAGCACATGAGGATTTGTATTCACAAAATACTATCGGATACTCTACAGTCTACGCTAGCATGTTGTTTTCAAGCAAAAATTGTGGATAGTTGCTCAAAGCCCAAACCATTTTTAATGAAAGACTTGTCAGATGAATGAAAACTTACACTAAATGTCAAAAGAGTTAAGTCAACTAGGCACATTAACATTAAGAAACTTATCAGTTGGTCAGGCTGTCATAGATTCCCGCACAAATTAATAATAATTTTTTAATTTTATTTGAGGGTCAAGTACCATATTATTTCATGACTAATTTTATGATCCCACTGACTAAATTAAGAAGGTTAGCACTCACCAATCACCATAAAGTTCGCCGAGTAACTATATATAGAATGCGGCCATCGACTCTCAGCCATACTGCAGTGCGAACATCACATGGGATTTTCACTCACTATCAAGTATCATAGTATCCAAGAAGCACTCAAACTTGATTTTTATCGGATAAAGATTAACAGTTGTATTACGTAAGTGATCGAAGAGTAATTTAAATCACGAAATTTATGGAACCTATAATCAATTCGCTTTTAAATTTTGATTTTACTTTAGTGGAACTGAAATCCTAGCGAGCAAGAAACTTTTGCGGAGGCTGGAACGTTTCGACTTTCGAGATCTAACGGCAGCCTGACTAGCCTTGGCCGTGGTCATTCGGCTCCGGTTAACTCGCAATAAAGTTCAAACATTGACGAGCTTATACACTATTGCAGTAAAATAGAGCAAAAATATTTACAGCGGTGCTGTTAAATAATTTGATTTTGGTACAGGATATTTATCACGCTCTCTAAAGGAGATCAGTTCCAGGGATAGCGTTTACAGCGATGAGCGCTACAACCTTCCTAGACAGCGGTGTCCAATGAACTGAGGACGACGAAGGCTTGCCACTGTCGTCTGCTTTCGATGAATTTAGAATGAGGTGAATTCAATTAAAATACAGTTTTAGATCACGATGACTATGAGAAATGCAATAATATGTGCTCCATGCTCTAACCAACTTAACGTAATGCTAATCATTAAAAGCTGTTTTCTCAGCGTTGTCATGTGATACCGCAAACTGTGAATAGAAATGGATTTAAAATAACGACGGATGCTAGGAAATAGTGAACGAAAAATTACTTAGGTCACGTACAGTTAAACAACAATTCGGCAATTTTGTCGCTTTTCTATCGAAATTCAACCTCAGAGTTCCGGTAGTTTTTTAAATGCCGGTAACGTTGCACGGAGCTGACACACCAGAGTTGTCCATACAACTATTTTATTTTCTGCAAGCGGAGACTACTCGCATTTCCTATGAAAAGTTGTTATTGCAAGATACAGGTTTGAAAAAAAAGACGTGTCGGCTGATTACAGCGTCTTGTGATTTGTTTGGTCCGCTCGAAAATTTTTTTGATAGAGTTACTATCAACGCAAAGTCATAAATAGTTAAGTTCTATACTATGGTACACATGCAAAGGGCTCAAGGTTTTCGGCCAACATGGCTAAATGAACGTCATAAAACATTTTTATAATTTTTTATGAACGTCATAAAAAATAAATGAAATGGATTCATACTATACAATGGATTCATTACAATACGGCGTAAACATTAAATAGAGCAATCAGCAGCCACGTTGTGCAATGTGTACGGACATTACGTAGTGAGTGCTAGCAGTCACGTTTTTAGTTTGAAAAAAATTAAAAGTTTACTGGCATGAACATTTGCCGGGATTGACTTGTAGTTCAGCGTCAGGTGGCGTGATGTCGAATTTGGGGTTAGTTGAATGTTCAGTACAAACACCGAAGACTTTTACTAGGCCTAATTGCATCCTGAACATCATCCTGAATCCTAGCTAACAACCACCTGTACCCTGACATCACCAGCTGTGTATTTAGAGCGATGATTCGAGATTAAGTTTGGCACTCGAAATTAAAATAAAAATATCATTTTGAACAAGGATTAGAATTCTGGAATTCCACAAGGAAAATAAATAGAAGAGATAGCTTAAATAATCATCTTGACGCTAGTGGATGGAGAACAATAGCATGTAGTAAATTCACTTTTACAGCGCGATTACTGGATAAACAACATGGAAACAATAAGAAGAACCTCGTAACAATTGCACAGGCCAAAACTTTCTCATCTGGGACCCCAAAAATTATTAGATATATACGGAACCTTTTTGACAGATTACCTTACGGCAGAATCATACTTTGAATTCACGTTTAAAATTTAAAGTCAATCTAAATCTAAAACTAGTAACGTTGTCTATGTAAACTAGCGGATGTGACATTTTCTCGTATGATTCAGGAGCTCAGTAGCGCTGCAGTCGTGAGGAAGGTGAGTTGTGTGCCGCTGCTGCACGAAGATAGCAGGTAATGCGATGACTAGTCGTGATGAATGTGAGGGAATAGTGTTTGTTGAAATCGATGATGCAAATGATTTCTTGAATTTATATCTATTTAATTTATAGTTGTCAACAATTGTTTTAAAAATACAAAATGTATGTGATAATTATTAATAATGACAGACGACTTATGGAGACTAGAGCCACAGATTTCTGTCCTTAGCTCAATTAACAGCAACGGGTTTCTTGCGGGTAGAACTAACAGAAATGCTTTCCTCGTTTACGTCGTCGACGCTTCAGAGACTTCACTGGAATATACGCACCCGAGTTATGAGATCACATACTGATCAGATTAGGCTCTTCTGGGTGCTGTATAGGATGTATATGCTGGGTATGATTTGAATATGACCTACAACATGTTATTTCAGTGAAGTATATATGAGAAGCGAACCCAAAGCAGCGAAAAGTTAGGTACTTTTTCTGTAACTAATTCAAAGGCAGTTAAGTAATTTCTATCATTCCATTCAGACGTGTCGTTTTGAAGTAGTCTCACGCATTCATGTCTCACGCATTTATACCTCACGCATTCATACCTCACATTTTCATACCTCACACATTCATACCTCAAGCATTCATACCTCACACATTCATACCTCACGCATTCATACCTCACACATTCATACCTCACGCATTCATACCTCACGCATTCATACCTCACACATTCATACCTCACGTACTCATACCTCACACATTCATACCTCACACATTCATACCTCACACATTCATATCTCACACATTCATACCTCAAGCATTCATACCTCACACATTCATATCTCACACATTCATACCTCACGCATTCATACCTCACACATTCATACCTCACACATTCATACCTCAAGCATTCATACCTCACACATTCATATCTCACACATTCATACCTCACGCATTCATACCTCACGTACTCATACCTCACACATTCATACCTCACACATTCATGTCTCACTCTAGTATGTTGGCAAGGACACGTACGGTGCTGGCAAGCCATACTGCATGCTAACGATTTGGCGGTAAACTTTAAAATATATTGTGGAAGAATCGATTACATCAAACTAATTTAAATTATTTCAATTCAAGTCGATCTCAATAATTTTAAAATGGATTGATTACTATGATTTTTTCATTTTCTGGTAGCTAAAAAAAATATGATCGAAGTTTGTCAAGTTATCAATGTATTTTTAAAACTAATGTAGGGAACAACCCTGTTTTTGATTTGATACCATTTGTCATCTCTCCTAGGAGAAAATGAAATAATTTTTACATGTTTTTAATTGATCGTTTATATAACGTGTGGAAAATTAATTTTGGATTGAATTAACGCCCCAAGTATTCATTACAGTATACCCATATTCTATACATGTAGGGGTTAGACAAAATAAGGGAAACGCATGAGAGATCCACAAAACATATATATTTTTTTTGCGGCAATTAGTCAATTACAGCCTCAATTATCCGAGGAATTGAATCATACAAATTGTGAATTGTTTCCACAGCAATTTTAATACATTCTTCAGTTGAAACTTCCTCCAGCTCTTTTAAAGACGATGGCAGCGGGAATCAACTTCTGACTTGCATCTCTAGAATCTACCATAAATGCTCGATAATATTCAAGTCTGGTGATTATGGTGGCTAAATGAGATGCTCAACATCGTGCAGACAGAAAATTCATCGTGCTATTTTTTAACAATTCCAGCTGTATGGATCGCGAGGGAATTATCATTTTGAAAGATGATAATGTCCCCGCGTTCCCCGAACAGTGCTTGAACCATTGAATGAACTTGGTCCTCCAAAATTTCCAAAATATTCACGGCTGTTTATTCTTCAATGAAGAGAAATCATTGGTCCGCCGGATTTCCAAGAAATAGCGCCACATATCATCACAGATCCCCTGATAGGTTATAAGGTTGGAAGGAGGCAGTCGGGATTATATGACTCTATTGGCTGTCTCCAAACTTAAACTCGGCCAGAGGTCGGAAATAAGGCAAACAATATCATTCCTCAGAGAAAATCATATTTTTCCATTGCTCGAGGGGTCAATTCTGGAGGTTTATACACCACTCTAAATTGGGTTCTGTAGATGTCCATTGTGGTCACAGTAATTTTAATAGCCGTGGTCTCTCGATTGCCCCCTCACAATTCGATTTAGGTACCGACAGTCTCTTTCAGACAACTTGGACTTTTGGCCAGACCTGTACTTTCCTGAGGACGTTTTTCCTTCTCTACCAAAAGCAGTCGTTAATATGGAGACAGTACCTCTAGGAACGTCAAGCATTTAGGAAGTTTCTGTCACAACTATAGCACCTGCTATACGGGCACCAACAATTTGGCCTCTTTTGAAAGTCAGAGAGGTTTGCCACTTATAGGTTAGATTATAAACACAAAAATTTCATCACGAAAAATTCAACATAAAAATATGTCATGTATTCATTGTTTATAACATGTTAAAAAATTAGAATGTCTAAATGTCAGGAGTTCCCTTATTATGTTGTTGAACCCCTGTACCCGCTACCCTAAAACGCAGTTTGCTTTGAAAACACTACTGCATTGCTGAAGAGACAGAGAAATAAATTTTGAATGAAATGATCATTCTCCGCCTCCTTCACTGTGCCTATGTTCAGGTGCTATTTTGCTTTCGTCATAAATCGATTATGAAATCGTTGGCGATAAAAATTCTCGATCTTTGTTTGCTTGAAAAATTCCGTGATTTGATCCCATGATTCCCTTCTTAAAAATACGTGAATTCAAACGGCAGACGGATAGATCTCATAGGCCAGTAATTTTTTTACTGCTCTTTCATTTATTAGGAGTCATGACTGTAGAAAATAATAAAATTTACTCCTGTTCATAAGCCAGTAATTTATTTTTACTGCTCTTTCATTTATTAGGAGTCATGACTGTAGAAAATAATAAAATTTACTCCTGTTCTGTCACTTACATCTAAACCAGAATGGTGTTTAATTTTTTTATGTAAATGGCTTTAAATTCGGAATTCATTCAAATTTGATCTTCTAACGAAGTTAAGAATGTAACATATACTAAGATTAAGGAATATTGATCTACTTTGAATATAATGGAGGCTTGAAGTATTAAATTCTTAAATAATTTTGAGCTGATAAAATAAAATTTGGTGTTTCAGTGCTAATCCCTCGCGGGTGGTATAAGTTTTAATTTCTAGCGCAAAGCTTCGGCCGCGGCATCTTGAGTAAGTCTCATAAGCGTCGAGGTAGCTATAGACGTACATATTTCGTGAGTGCAAAAAACAAAGCTGCAGTTTATTTATGGCTACGATGCACGGCTAGGAAGAGGTAAGATGTGGGACGAGCTTACCGCCTCACAGGCTTTGGCCGCCCCGCCAAATTGTCTTCATATTGCAGAGACCCCTTTTGGGGTGGTGCGTCTGGGCTCATAGACGTGGCACTGCGCTAGATCGAATTGCATTGGGAGGAAAATTTGACGTGAAAATTGTGGTAAATAAATATTAACATTGGTTGAAGGTTATAAGTTGCAAATTCGATGTTTTTGCGCGAGGGTTGTCGAGCCGCCAGACTGGAAAAATCATTGAATGTCACTATTAACCATATAGAGGATCGGCACTCTTATTAAACCATGATCTTCGAGCCTTTGAGAGGTTTTGTTTTTCGGATTATAGAAAACGTTGAATGATAACCGAAGTCATATCCTAAAATTTACTCCTGTGTTCGGTGCTTCTGTAGGGTGCCAGTTATTACCCACACAGTAAGCAAGATTGGAAATGAAAAGAGACGGGTTGGGAATTTATTGCAGTGTAAATTGATAACAAGATGGTAAAGGAAAGTATATATGGAGTTGCGTAAAAATAGTGCAAATAATACCCATGACAACGTGAGCACCTAGTGAAGAATAGATCCAGTAAATGTTCGTTTTAGATATGAATAAAGGAATGATAATACAATATAAAATTAATATAACAGTAAAAAAAGGAACTTATTAGAGCTTGAACTAACCTGTTGCGGGCATCAACCGAAAGATAAATGACTAACGAAAAAATTGTGAAAGCGGTGAAACTTCCTAAACGGTGTTGCCAAGGTTAAGCTAAAGCTATAATTTGATATGAATAAAACTCGTAAAATGTGTAACACTACACGTTTTCTAAGCTTCATTGGTCGCGTGCCACTTATAGCGAGAGCCAGGGTTTCAAAAATACTAAATGCATTTGTCAGTACAGCATCATAAATCAATTTTCTTTCCTGTCCTGCATCTCACGCTTATTTTTTTCCATCCTGAATTCTGTCCGCTCTTTCTTTCTTCTCCACACCACATTGTATCCGCTCTTTCTTTGTTCTCCACTCCGCATTCCATCCGCTCTTTCTTCTCCACACCGCACATCTCATCTGTTTTATTTCACTAATCTTTTACTTAACTCTTGTCAGACTGCATAATTTTACGTCATAATCGCACCAACTGCAGGTCCATGCAGTTGCACTTCTATGTTCCAACAAGGGTCAGACGTTTTCGTGAATTTTACTACGTTATATAATCGCACTGAGTGTAGGTACAGTTGTACTTATATGTTCCAACAAGGGTCAGACGTTTTCGTGTAAAAAAATAACTTTTTCGTAAAGGAAGTAATTGTTCCCAGCAGGGAGGATGGGTCGCAAGGAACCTCGTCGGGTGCAGGTGGATGAGCTGAGGAGTCTGCTGCTGGAGCCTGGTGGGGGCGCGTTCAGGGTGCCTCTCATGGACTATGATGAGGTGTACCCTGGGGTGCTGCTCGGGGGCAAGTGAGTGCCGTCTTCTTTTTATGTATTCATGTAAACAGTTTTTGTATGGATTTTAAACGTTTTTGTATGGATGTAAACCGTTTTTGTATGGATTTTAAACGTTTTTGTATGGATATTAAACGTTTTTGTATGGGTATTGGACGTTTTTGTCTGGATATTAAACGTTTTTGTATGGATATTGAACGTTTTTGTATGGATATTAAACGTTTTTGCATGGATGTTAAACGTTTTTGTATGATATTAAACGTATGTGGTTCATATTAAACGTTTATGTATGGAGTTAAACTCCTTGGTACCGTATTCATATTGAACGTTAGGGTATTCGCATTTAACACTTTTGTATTCTTATAAGCAGTATTTAAACAGATATTAACCATATCTGTGAAATTATTCGTTTCTAAACTGATATCAACCATTTCTGTGTTGCTATTAATCTTTTTTGTGATGATATTAACGATTTATACCTACGTTCTCAATGAGTCAGCTTGGTGCATGGTTGAATTTAATATATTGTATTAATTCAACCATGGCTTGGTGTTCCAGTGTACGTCCATATTTTAATGTTTTGTCGTATCCATTATAACTACAGCTTGAACTCAAGGGGTTAAACGAATTGTGAAACGCTTTTACGTTTATATCGGCCTTTTTAGCGCATTTTCTCATTTATGGAAAAAAATGAGCTAATGTGCTCGTCATGTCCGTCTGCCGTCTGCACGTCCGTCCGTCCGTGACTTCACGTTTTCGTCGACGAGAAAATGCGCTCTCTGTCACTCACTGCAGTGAGTACTGACTACTGAATTATATTTTTAAAATAGATTATTAATTATTAGCCGTTGATACATTATGATTGAGTTATTTAGGTGTATTCTATTCCAAATATAGCAGCCCATTACAACCCATTTCTCAAGGAGCATTTCAGATCCCAACATTGCACTGCATGCAAAGTTTTCCGTCAGGAATTATACTGGCCGATTAGTGCTTGCACGATTGAAAAATATGCAGCCCAGGAATTTTGTTACGTATTTTTTCACTCCACTGCCGCCAACGCATGAACAAAACTTCGAATTTTCTCTAAACTTTGATCGCTTTCACATTAGTCAGGCTTCTTGATTATGTCTATTGTTTGTAAGCTGAGTGGTAATATGCTAATCTGCTTTATCGAAACAAAATGTCTTTGATAAAAAATATATTGTCTTTCTTTCCAGTATTTTGAACTCCTCGCGAAAAACGTGATTTCAACTACCATTATTCACTCTCAAAAAATTCTAATTGTTTGATAATGATAAAATTAACATTTCCTTCATCATTTTCAACTAATTTTCGCGGAGCTTGCGGAGAAAGTAATATACTGTGTAAAAACTTGTGTTTGGTTATGCAAACATGACGATAGTTCAATAAAAATTCATAAATCACAATAACATAGCAGCTAGAAAGCCTTCAAAAGACAGGTGCAGGTTTAGTGTCTTATGTTGCTCTGGGAAGTTGTTCATGCTTTAAAATTATCATACTGTCACTATACGCTGAAAGCAGCATTTTATATCCTTATAATTTACATTTAGTGTTTAGTAACTCTTCGGTGGCAAATTAAATTGTTTCCTGGTTAATTAATTCCGATAAACATTAGCGCACTCGATACAATTCCTACAAAGTTGAATTTCAAGTATCAATGCCGTGTATATTCACCTCATTCGTACACAGCTAACACCCACACAATCCTCAGGTATGAGGGGGGGGCGGGGCAGGTGCCCCCAACCCTTTACTAATATTGCCATCTCTACCCTGTTGCCAGAATACCGACATTCCCGCTAGTCGTTACCTCTGCCAGAATTTTTTTTCATGACATCATAAATCCAACATAAAAGCTGGGAATCTAGCAACTTTTTATACTATGTAAAAGCATATGCTTGCGCTTTTTATACTATATACTATTCTTAAAATCAGCTTTATAAAAGCACATGTTTGTGCTATAAAAGCACCTGTTTGTTTTTTATACTATATACTATTCTTAAAAATATGGTAGCTAATTAAACGTTTTAACACACTAAAACATTGTAAATAATAGATACGTTGTTAAAGGCTAAGCTTTCATACTGGTACGTTGATTATGTCGCTAGCGACCTCTTTAAGTTTGGGTTCTAGACCAATTAAGGATTATTGTGGCAATTACTGCATTCTCGATATTTTAATCACTCGAATATTATACTGACGCAATCTTAACTAATATAAATAAAAAATAACTTGAATGGAGGGGTCTTTCTTCGAAATAGTACAAAGCTTGCGAAGCTATAGTAGAGAATATAGAAAAGTGATTTTTTAAATGTGAGGGGGAAATTTTTTGTATGGGAGATATTGAGCAACAGTTTTTATAGAGCTATTACTATTTCTTCGGAACTTGGAATTTAATTAGGATCAAATGATTCAGTCAAAAAGAGAAGCAAATTAATTGAAAGACGAAAAAATTCGAAAATACGAACTTGCAATTTCTTCAATGGATTGAGGTCGCTGATATGATTTTATCATCATGTTGTTTCGCGATGTTAATCCGACTAGCCCGCTACAAACGAGTCATATAGCCTGACGTGAGCAGAGGTTAGGTCTGTCAAAAAGTCTTGCTTTTCGTGGGCGTTATAGGTTCTATAATTTTTATTTTCTAAGAAGTAGAATACAAAAGCAATGTCATAAGTGATTCCAATACATGAGTATTTTGTACAAAAGTCACGTAATGCTCAATTACTTATTTCACCGAAGATAATTCTATCATTTGAATGTACCAGGCAACGATTTAAAGCCTTTGGTCAGACGGTATCTATTTCGGTCAGCGACAGGTGCCTTTCACTGAGTAAATAGTTTACTTACAAAGCAAACAGTCATGCCCTGCTGCTCTAACGTTCCGCTGAATCATTCACTCGATCTGTGTCTGATTTTGAATAGAAAATATTGACTCTTATTGAAATAGTTAACATTAAACGTTGCTTTTCTTCAAACGAAGCTAAGATGCAAATGTTTTGCAAGTTCTTTGGTATTGATCTAAGTAAGAAACGAGTCACATAACAGAAAAATAGAAGTTGCAGTCTAAGTTCCTAAGTATAAATCAATATAGTACTTTTTTTACCAAATAATTTCTCGTATAATCAAGAACGCTAAATAATCATCATTAAATTGTGCTGCTATAGCTTAAAATATCAAAATTTCTCATGTTTTCGGTCGTTGAGTGGCGCGAGCTGCTCTTGCTCCGTGGGCCGCGCTCAAGGTCGATTTTTTTAAGCCCGCTACTAATGGCCCACGACTGCACGTGAATGACTCATCATCTACTCACTCGCACATTCCGCGCAATTGCTTTCGCGTCTTACTTGTTACGAAGATCATTATTTATTTATGACGTTTTCTAGTCCTGGGTTATTCCAGCGGGAAGCCCCCAGGACAGGCATACATCTGTGATTAAGTAGCAACATCCAATGTCGCCACGTCGCGCCCCTCAAATGTAGCTAACAAGTGCACCTGTTGGCGCGGCTATTCTGGGCGCGGTGCCGTATCTTTTGCCTCGTATGTACGAGAACTGCAACCACTTTCTGCACACAACGATCGAGGCCAGAGAAATGTGAAAAAAAGCAGATGTGAAGAACACGAAGCTGCTCTCTGGGCTTTGGCTTGGTCGCCCCACGAACTGTAGTAGGAGATGAGTCGCTTGCTTATACACTTGAGTGTTTCTCTCGTCCGTGGAACGGTTAGTTCGTGATGGAAGTTTTGAGGAGTCATAAGTGTGACTGGATCTCATTGGAATTAATCAAACGGATAGTGAGCTTTGACACATTTTAATAACGTAACATAACGTAACGTAATAACGTAATAACGCCATAATAACGTAACGTAATATTGGCACTTCTAAATTACAGGGATGAAATGTTCATTGGCCCATGTGTATTAAGCAAAGCTTAGAAATTTTTATTTTCATTTGATAAATTGCAAATAAAGACACAAGTGTCATGGTATGGCTGGCTGATAGCATTTATAGACGTACGATTCTGATTCGTATGCAACAATTTCTGATTTACTTATAGCCGCACAAATTAACATATTATTGAGAGTTATTTCAAATATCGGATGAAATATTTTAAATAAAATTTGAAGTTTAGTACGGTTATAATACAGGTTATTTAATACAAGTCTCAGCATAAAATCGGATTTGTCATATTTTTCCAGTAAAGATGTGGATATCAACATCGGAGATCTAAGAATCAACGTCGGAAATGACTTTCCGCAAACTGATTGATAACCAACCAGAATTTCCATGACTTACCCCGCTGGTCGTTCCTTAGTTTATTTTACCTTCAGAGCGACAAAGTGGAAGTAATAAAAACTGTTAACAAATTTATCTCTCTATCGTTGTTTAATCATAATAATTCTAAATATTTGAAGAATTATTATTATTATTAGGCTAAGTATCCACAATTACACTATACCGTATCAGAACGCATCACGTATCGTCGTATCTCATGACGAATTTATGCTATACTCTTAACAGGTCAGAACAATTCTGTTTCAGAAGTCAAAAAATTCTTATAATTTGTTTCCCAATATCGGCGTAAAATTCTTCATTGAGTCTGTATTTTTTGTTTGGTGAGTCAGGCAAGCGTATTTAAGTGACCCGAATAGTGACGACAGACAGCAGCACTTCGTCTCTTCTTAACTGATGAGCGTGACACATGACTTTGCTGCCTGTCACACTTACGTTAGGATGGTCTCTTGCAACCACACACTTCATTTGTCACTCGGGAATTTGATTAATAATATATTGTTTTATAATTACGGCAGTCGTCTTGATTTATTCATTATTTTTAAATTAGGTAGCTGTCAACACGAGGCCTTGTCACGTCGTTTGTTCTGCAGATTTGCATTCAGTTGTAAGCTTCAGTAGTCTCCGCGTTACTGAAGGTTCATGGAGATGTTTTACGTTTACACGAAATCTTTAAGGACTTTTTATTGTCGCTTTCTGCCACACGTTCAAAGTACTTTAATTACATGTCCATGCAATGACTTCATTTACTCGTGTTATCAGCTTGAATGGTAAAAGTTATATACTGAATTTCTTCGAGGATAGGTGATGAAATTGGTTAAAAATAGGTGATGATATTGGTTTTAGGACGCTTCAGTTAATTATTAAATCAAAAGTAACATTTATTACATTTTTATGACGAAATTAACAACTGAACTTTTCACTCATCGAATTTCTCACACACCTTTACGCTACTCGTCCGGCACTAAAGAGCACAAGTTCTTAGATATATCATGTGCCCAGGGTAATTGAGTATTAAGATATTCGTTGTACAAGGGTATTTACTCGAGTACTCGAGCCAGGGTACTCGAGTGCCAGGCTGCTCTGGAGCCAGGGTACTCGAGTACCATGGCTGCTCTGGAGCCAGGGTACTCGAGTGCCATGGCTGCTCTGGAGCCAGGGTACTCGAGTGCCAGGCTGCTGTAGAGCCAGGGTACTCGAGTGCCAGGCTATTGTAGAGCCAGGGTACTCGAGTGCCAGGCTGCTGTAGAGCCAGGGTACTCGAATGCCAGGCTGCTCTGGAGCCAGGGTACTCGAGTGCCTGGCTGCTCTGGAGCCAGGGTACTCGAGTGCCAGGCTGCTCTGGAGCCAGGGTACTCGAGTGCCAGGCTGCTCTGGAGCCAGGGTACTCGAGTGCCAGGCTGCTCTAGAGCCAGGGTACTCGAGCGCCATGGCGGGGGCGAAACAGAGACGGTGGCGCACCTAGAAGCTCGTCGGTCGTTAATAGTAATTTTCTTCATATAATTTCGGTCACGGCAATTAACAACGTTGCCCTGCATTTTAGAAATTGATGGAGCTATGTTTGACCTGATATTCCTCAGAAGAAAATAAATTAACAACGTAAACATTACATTTTTGCCTCAAATATTCTCGTTCCATAAAAAAGCGGAATTGTCTAATTCGAGCTTATGCTCGTTACGTACTATTGTCCCACTTTATTGGACCGCGATGATGTTCGAATGGTAGTGGGTACTGCTTCTCATATTGATGCTAATATTTGGATCGAAATGCATTAATTATCACCCTAGGTCAAAAGTCGCTAGTTTGAATATGAAGTATGACAAATAAGTATATTCTTAAAATATAAACCAATTTTTAGTCACATTCTCGCATTTTTTGTGCATCTATTTGGAATCACCGCAGACTATGGTTGCTACAAATTTTCGGTTATTACAAATTTGTATCGATCATTTACAAACATGATGGATTAATACTACATATGCTCATATGCAGCATTATATTTCCCTCACTGCACAACTGACAGAGTTTAAAGGTGTTCCGCTGCGATCAGGTCGATGTGTGTGGCGGAAGCTGCAAATTGTGCTAGATTATATTGTGTTAGGCAGTAATTAATTTTATGAATAAAAAATTATTTAACTAATAAACACTAGACCGCAATAATTTTTGCACCTGTAAAGTCCTCGCGTTCGTCAATTTAGCAACCTCTTCCGTAGATTTGGGTTGACCTGCCCCGGTTCAATGATCATGTCCGTCAAAATATCACATGTCTGGAAACAACATGCCAACAGGCCATAAATCAGTGACAACGCAGGGCCGCTGCACGCAGCGAGATTGCCTTACCTCACCTGTCACGCCATACGATTTGCAACGTGTCGACTTGCATCCGATTATAATTTTGCCCGGGATTGTAGGTTCTATTGAATTCAAGAAAGAACTTTGTGCTGGTGATTTTTTCATATCTGAGCACTAACAGTCTCATTATCTCATTGAGAATGAATCACATTACATTACTGAGAATGAATCTCATTACACAGAACTTCTAAACGAAAAGCAACTGATCATCATTTTAATTATCATTCCATTTTTTTTCTGTAATAAGAAAAGTTTGAAATTCTAGGTATCGTATAACACAGTGAATTTATTTTTTTGACAGTTCCATTAAACATTAAATAAGTCAAATTTAAAGTTAACGTACTTCATAGAGATTTTTACTATGTTAGTCAGATTTTGTCAGGACCTGCTGACTATTTGTATTGGTAGTAAGGAAATATTGATCAACCAATTAACGGAACCGTTGCAACTTTCAATTTTCGCTAGGCATCCACGGCACAATTATTTTTCCTTCTCGGCTTTATAAAAAACTTTGGGTGCTCAGTGATTCTTGGTCTCTAAGACAAAAGTGCTAAAGAAAAGAAACTAATACATTAATAGATATTAAAGATTCCCCACTTGAGTTTTCGTCAAAATTCTCCAATAAACTTTCTTGTTCTTTATCGGTTATGATGAATTTAATTTGGTACAATAGCCACACATTTATTTTATTCCCACCCCCACTCGATGGAACTACTCGTCTGTATTCTCCCTCAGGGATCTTGGTGTGGACATTGAGCGACTACAGGAGCTAGGAGTGACTCACGTGTTGAACGCTGCCAAAGGCCAGTACATTGGCCAGATCAACACGTCTCCAGGGTATTTCAGGAGGGCAGGAATAGAGTTTCTCGGCGTGCCTGCCTTGGACAGCAGCACTTGCAACTTGCGACCTTACTTCAAAGAGGCTGCTAGCTTCATCGAGTCAGCGTTATACGGTGGAGGTGAGCCAGGCTATACTTCAAAGAGGCTGCCAGCTTCATCGAGTCAGCGTTGTATATGGTGGAGGTGAGCCATGGTATACTTCAAAGAGGCTGCCAGCTTCATCGAGTCAACGTTATACGGTGGAGGTGAGCCAAGCTATACTTCAAAGAGGCTGCCAGCTTCATCGAGTCAGCGTTGTATACGGGGGAGGTGAGCCAAGCTATACTTCAAAGAGGCTGCCAGCTTCATCGAGTCAGCGTTATAGGGTGGAGGTGAGCCATGGTATACTTCAAAGAGGTTGCCAGCTTCATCGACTCAGTGTTGTATATGGTGGAAGTAGAAAAAGTAATGCACAAAGAGCTTGACATTCGATCCGATAACGCGAGGAAAAGTTTATTTGGTATTGAGATGATGATAATAATTTAAATTCTCACGGAAAGCCCATTGCTGCCTGTAGACGTTGGTCAGGTAATTTGTCCAGTCAGTCTACAGTATCCTTTCGATTTGTAGTAGTCGTTTTGTCGACAGAAAATAAGCACTAACTTTAGAGTGGACGAGTTTGTAAAATCTGGACTCAAAATTCTGCCCAAAATCTCGTTTAAAAATCTTGTTCAAAATCTCCAACAACGGAAAATTTGCCTTTTACCTGCAACTGAAATTTATGATCTTCGACAGGGAAAGTCTACGTTCACTGCGAGTGCGGAATATCGCGGGCACCGACACTGGTTGCCGCGTTTCTTATGCTGAGAAGAGGTCTCTCTGCCAGACAAGCTCTTGCTGCCATCCGGTAAAACGGGCGGCTAGGAAAGTTGTTTTGATGTTATGAAGAAATCACGTTTACAACACGTCATGAAACAAAGACTTAATTTTTTATGAAAATGTATTCATCTGCAAGCATTTTTATCATTCCACATTATTAATATTTATTATACACTGATTTAGCTTAATTTTATTTTCAGTCATTTTGGAAACTACCAATAATGTAACATGAAGCACATTGAGTAGATCAGTTTTTGAAAACGCGTGAATTGCAAGTCAATCATCTGTAATTATAATATTTCTATTATCTGTTGTAATTCGTCAGATCCAAGCGAAGCATCTACCCCAACGAAGGGTTCTTAACACAACTGAGCGACCTCGACTACGAACACCAACAGAAGGGGCTCATTCGACCAGAACCAGAAATGTATTCCGCACTTGACGAACTCAACGCCCGGTACGACTATCCACTCGAGTACTACCACTACCCGAGTCTTTACCCAAGAACTTCAACCCGGTTCATCACCCGACATTTCACACGAGAGTACAGCCCTCCATTGACCAGGGCTGAGATCAGGGCAGGGATACGAGCTCGTTCGGAAGACAGAGAAGTTCCCGCAGTTCGATACAGAGCTTCAAGTCTGCCCCCGCTGTCCAGGAGCCTCACGCCCGTTCGGGACCTGACGCCCTACACCTCCAGCAGGGTGCACGTTTACGGATCGAGGACTCCTCGCATTCCAGGCAGCACCATCGATAATGACATCATCACCTACCGACCATCCATTGTAGGGTACACTCCTCGAGCTATCCGAGGCATCGATTATAAGACCGGACCAGTTTCGTTCTCCACGTATCGCAATTCGAGCTACTACAAGGACTTGCCGTCTTCACCTTATGAGAGCAGGGCTACATCCAGAATCCGGTACCAGTTAGAACCTCGCTTCACGAGCCCTCTGATGAACAGTACAGTTCCTGGGACAAGGTTCGGCTCTGCTACCCTCACTGCTCCAGTAAGCAGGTACCTCTCAACGCCTGCAAGAGTTTACATCTCGTACCCTTCACGATACGGACTGTCACCCAGCCGATCGTATGGCATCTATGAACCTAACCTCTACAGGTCCACCTATACGCAGCACAAGTATGGACTCGGTTATCCAACTAAATTCCAGACCTACAAACTGCTTTATCCGTCTATCTACTCCTACCACAGAAGCTACTTAGGAGACTACTATTGAGACTAATACAACCAACACAAGTGTGATGAATAGTGAGCGTCATTAATACTTCAAGTAGACATAAGAGGATATAAGCTCGTTGCTAACGAAATATCGATCGAGCATTAAAATCACTTCAATTGACGGTCAAGATTGGAAATGATTTGCATTTCACACGACACAAACATTTACGAATTTATCTATGTCTTCCTGGTGGATCTTTCTTGATTAAGAACGTGTGCCGCCAAAATTCTTATTTTCATGTCTCACTCACCACTGCCAGTCGGACAAAACGAAACTTGGGTGTGCAATAATATGCTTCTTATGACTTAACAAATACGCTTGGCACTTTAATTTTTCCGCTTTTTATTTAATTTAGTGGCGCTACGATAAACGTTAAGGGTAAAATAAGTTAAAGTTGTTCGAAATAATTTCCTCCCTCATTGTTTGCAGTATAGCGCGTTGTTACTGATGAAAGTGAAAATTCTAATGTTGAGCCTTCTTGCGTATGGGGAATTCAAGGAACTAGGGGCCTCCTTGCACGCGAGTAATCTTGGTTTGTGCCTTTTACATGGCAAATATCAAGCTGTATTTTGCCTTGATAAGTGAAGAAAACATCAAGTCGTGCCTCATCATAAAATTTGATCCTTAATCGGCACTTTGTACACGCAAAAGGTGCATATTCACAGGGAAAGTTTCAGCCGATAGTATTAGAGGCTAATATCACCCGATAGTAACTTATGAGTTTAATTCATTCTTGCAGTGGAAAGTACCACTCAGTCTCTCTACCCTACCCAGTTTTTCACCTACAGCTTATGTTAATTAATAAAATATTTTATTATCATAGCGATTGTAACAATTTCATTACTGGTTAATTAAAGCCTCCTCAAACTATCATTGTCTCGTCCTATATTCTTTACGTAGACTTGACTCTTTTCTTCCTTACGACGCACTGGCGCTAGCAGATGAAAAACTTACTGTTTACCTAATACTTTCCTCGTGTATAGGCTTTCAGAAGGTAAAACTATAAGTGGAAAGTACTCGCCACCAATACTATCGACTAATACTTTCTCCCTGTACTAGCTTCTAAGGGTATGGTCTTCGTATAGAACAAAAACATCGTAGTAACTACAATCACAGAAAATCATCCCTGCAACTGATGGTTCCAGCTAGATTCTAGATGCATCGTCGCATAACTTTAGGTCATTAAGTTTCAAACGTTCCCCTCTTAATCGTATTGTAAAATGTTCATGCTTGTTATGTGAATGTTATTTGACGCTGTGGCTTAGAAGCGGCCACTCAGCATATTTAGCTACAGTTTATTCTTAGTGCAGCACAGAGATGAAAAATACAGAACTCAGATGATTATCACTAACCTTCAAGATTTTTGCCAGAAATGCGAAATTTATACTTCAAGAACTCTTAACTTTAAGAAGACGCAACGGATTCATATCGAAAAATGCCAGAGCAGATTTAGAATTAAAACGCAAGTATACATTAAATTACATCAATGATATGCAATCACATAGAAATCGTTTCTGTACTAACGAACCGGTATAATGCGGAAATTTAACATGCATGAAAAAAGTTTAACAATAAATGAGTTTTCTGAATTAGGTTAATTATTATACCTAATTGTTATTATTTAACTCTATAATTTAAAATAAAACCTAAATATTGAGTCAAGTCCTCGCTAGTTACTACTTTATACCAAGCTGTACTCGACTGATGTCAACAAATGACAGCAAGTTATTAATATTCATAATTCTCAAGATATCATTTCTTCGAGGCAAGACAAACACGATACATGCGTAGCGTCATTTATTATTGGAAGTCTTGGTATAGTAGCGATGTCGAATCCCGGCGCTGCCGCCCCTGAACCAACACGCGTCTTGGTCGGCGGTGATGACAGCGAGCAGAGCTCCTGCACCGAGCGCGTGCTGGTCGCACTCCACCATCCCGCAGTCGCACGACGCCCTTGCGCACGGCAGACCTCCTGACGAAGCGCGACCACAATCTTTCTTCTCAGATGAGATCTGGTGACTGTTTGTTGTGTTTCTATGGCATTTGCCTGTGCCGCGTCGCTCAAACGGAGTCTCGGGATGGCTGTGCAGGGATAAACACACCCACGGACACCGCATCTCTGGACTCTCATGCAGCGCTCTGAAACAAAGGCTCGAGATGATTATCATAAATGAAACCGGTTGCTTAGAAATTTAACAAGGGAATAAAAAAACATTTAGCCCGTTAGAGTACAATAACCAAAGTAAGTCATCAGTACCATACTATGTCACTAATCTCTATAAGAGTTAAGATATACAAACACTGAAGGAGAACATCACGAGTTGCGTAACCTATAGGACATTAGCAAACACGAATCAAGACAACAATAAAGTCACAATCTAAACACTACCAGTGATGGACTACAAAATGAGTCTAAATAGAATTATCGTCGTTTCGATTTGCCTCACTCAACCGTGATAATCAGCTTAGGGATTGTAACTGATATTGTTGCAGGAGTCTATTATCAGAAAACAAATTTCAACATAAATTTACATATCAATAATTCGTTTGAACAGATATTTGCTACGTAAAAGAAAAAGCTTTCGAGACATAAATAAATGAATACAAAGAGAAAAAATTACAACACAGTATTTTTAGGACACTTTTAGCGGTAGTGTTTTTTCAAGTATTAAAGTTATGATAGAATCGGCAGTTACAACCTGAAGAGCCGAAAAGAAATTTAACATTTAGTTGAAACGTTCGTGGAGATTTCCACCGTCTTCATAGAAAAACTCTATAGATATTATGCATCTCAAGAGGAAGTTAAATTTTTACTCGAATTGATGGCATTTTGTTAGATGTTAAGCTGACCGAACATTGACGAGGATCCGGCGCACGGCAGCAGCGCTGAAGAAGCCGTCGCAGTGCAAGCAGAGAACCTGCTCGGCCAGACCCCTGGCACCGGAGCTGCTTTTTCTGCTCGTCGAAATTTTGACAAGTCCAAGTTAATTCTTCTAATTTATTAACCTACGGCCAACATAAGGAATTCATTAACCTACGGCCAACATAAGGAACAAGTCACGGATACGTACAGCAGCGTCCCAAAAAGCATTTCAAAACAGCAGCTATACACGAAATCAACAATAAAATGGATTTGAAAGCTTCTCATGAGATCTTGGAGGCTTCTACTTGTTCAATACGTGGTTAAAATGGAGTACTGAGGGTTAATAAAAATTACAATGTAGAAATAGAAATGGTTATTCAAACGTGAAAGTTTCTTCAACAGTGCCTGCAGTACAACGGTAATACTATCAAAATCTCAGCTTAATTTCATACTCGTATAAAACTTGGGCGGTAATAATGATTTTTTGGACAAGTAATTCTTCAGAAACACACAAATAGCAGCCAAATATAACTTACGGCTTGATATCCAGAAGCAGGCATCCAACATCCTCGAGGAAACTAAGCACATCAGCATCAGTCTCTATGTGTTCATCACATCGAGCCTCAGGAGTCTCTGTTACATTTTCTTGACCCAGAAGCCTGAGCTGCTGCTGGAGACACTCTTTCCCTTGCCAAGAAATAAGAGGTAGGGGCACTTTACTCAACACCGTGTGCCGCACTGTAGGCGAGATCAGCGGCCCAACGCTGTAGCCCAAGTCACTGAAATACTTGGCAATAGAAGAAGGACACACCGAGGCAGAGTTGGGCTCCCACGAGACCTTGAAGTCCATCTTGAGCTTGCGGAGGCAACTTAACGTGCGCTCGTAGCCGCGCCGGGGGGGATGGAAACCAGGAGATAGTGTATTGATGTGTACCGCTGGAAAAAAACAAGTGATGGAAGTGAATTTCTTTGAGGTAAACATACTTACAGAGAAGACTAAGTGTGTAGGTATATTTGCTGCAAGTAGAGGAGAAAGGTAAAAAGGAGAGAAGGGGTTTGATGTGCAGTTGTGCACTTTGTCAATACTGTTCATATTCTGATAAAAAAACAGTCAATAAAAGACACAGGAGATACAACTTGAACACTATGAGCTTATGATAGTGAACAAAATTTAAAACAATGATTCAAGGGAGGAAGATAAATACAGCATAGAGATTCTTCGTTGCTTAGAACCTTGAGGCTTGTTTTTTTATTACTTCAAGCTAAGAAAGCCACTCAAAATTATTTCATAGTGATTATGCATTGAAACTGTTACAATCCACTAATAGTTTATGATTCTAATATTGGTTTTAAAATATAAAATTATTGATTTGTAAAGACTCTGGAAAAAAATAAGTACAGTAAACGGAAATAATATTGTGCATCCCTACGCAGCCATGTCTTGTGCGACAAGCAATCACTGTTAGGCTGTGACCAGTGAGCATAATTCAAGGGTAAGAGTGCACGTGAACAAGCTGACTAAATAAGACAGTTCATAAAATTGAGGATTATGTGCCATGTAATAGCAACTAAACGTTGACAAGGCTCAACATCATCATATAAGAGCATAGCACTAAAATGGACTCCAGAGTCAGTCATTACCTTCTATCTGTGCACAATTATAAACAAATAACAACATAGATCATAGATAATATTAATATGATTAAACTGACCATATCGATGATGAGGCTTCCTGAGTATGTTAGTGACAGGTGAACCCTCTAGCCCGAGAGCGTGGTAGGTGTGGTGAGACAGCAGGAGACTTAGGCGTCCAGTGGGGTACAGAGCACAGCAGTCATGGCTGCCAAGAAGTGTGCCTTCACTAATGCATTGCACCTCACCTGTCAGTACAATTACAATTCAATCCAACTGTCTTGTGCTGGTATATATATAATACTGAATTAAACCAATTATTCCTTGCAATACCCTAATTATCAAGGCACTTTATTTCCAGGGATGCACAGAAGTGTAGGTCTCAACACTCCTGTTTCAAGAATTTGACAACAAATAATTAACATTTGCAATAATGACATGAATTAAAAAAACTTTCAAGTTTTTTTTGTCTTACTAATAATTCTTTATTGGAGGGGTAGAAGAGAAACTTTGCACCAGTTTCTAATCAAGAGCAACAAGTATATACCTAGTTATGTAGGTATAATTAATATTCCTTGTGAACCTATTGAAAGTAGGTATACAACAAGTTTTGGGTTTGGCACAAATAGAATAGGGAAAATATAAAAATAGAATAGTTTCAGCAAAGACTTGTTATTATGCATAAAAAACAAGACAGCCAGTAGAATTGCAGCTTTGAAGCAAAAAATTTTGAATGACCAATCAACCTGGAAACCTGGACACAAGAGTTTGGCTAGTTAAAAGCTAGGTTGGAAGAATCCATATAAATGTTTATGATATATACATATACACTGAATATATATTTATAAAATATGTACTAGAATTATTCAAGAATGGTGGCAATATAAGGGCAAGCAGCATGTACCTAACTTAATGAAGCTCTGAATGAACTCATAAGACACTAGCACATCAAGATGGAGCTGTCTGATGATAAAGCTCTTGTAGTTAGTAATGAGAGTTGAGAGCTGTGGCAGCAAGTCCTCACTCTTGTTGTCATTGGTACAGGGAACAACAAGATGCAACTGTAAAGAAATCAGATGAGGCAGGAGATTGCATCAGTTATTCAGGCATCACATGAAACATTTAAGTTTTAATATGAACAAACTAAGAGTTAACATCATAGAACACTGGTCTATGATCATTATTAACAACAAGAGACAATAATGAAAGGTATTGGGAAAAGGGTAAAATCAAAGACACTGACAATTGAAATAAAAACATAGTAGTTGCAGCAGTGTTTTAGGCTCAGCTCTTGTCAAGATAAAGAAGCTTGTGTCATGAAGATCACTACCTACTGGTACGTACATATCAGTATTGGCACAGTTAAATGTTAAAACTTGAAAAACAAATTAAGATAGCCAATTATGATAAGTGCTCTATAATAGAGACAAAACAGAGCCTCTATTTTGTCTTACCAGTAGCATTTTTTTACACTATGGAGAAGATAGGACAGGAGGGAATGAAGTGATATGTGTGAAGTGCAAAAACAATGGATAATCATAAGGCTTTAATAATATTTGAGGTAAAATGGACAGTTACTCTTGATTTATTGTGAAGAAAAACATTGATCACTAAACAATAGCATCAAGTATTCAGTTCTAACTCACCTTAGTCACAAAATCCTGTTGACTAATGCCTACATCCAAGCTACATTTACCCAGGACATCTGTTTTACTATAAGATTTTAATGAGGATTGCTCTTGAGAATACATTTGTAAACTCTGCTTTGCAGCAGGGTATTTGCTAATGTTTCCACGCACCATTATATTTTTCTTCTTAGGGCTCCAAATGTAAAATTTTTACCTGCAAAAAAAAAAAAAATAATAAAATAAAATACTCAGGAAAAACTTTTTTAAAAAACACGTTTTTCTTGTGGACTAAAAACTAGAAAATAAATTATGGCTTGCCCCAAAAGACGTGTGTCAGTCAGATTTATGATTACAGCAAAAAGGACACAACACACGAGTTTTGGAAATTTGATGGTAAACGTACAGCCAGACTCACGTTTTTCGAGGCGAGCCATAATTTATTTTCTACTTTTTAGTCCACAAGAAAAACGTGGTTTCTAAAAAAGTTTTTTCCAAGTATTTTATATTCTACTTTTTAGTCCACAAGAAGAACGATGAAGACTTGATTAAGTATGACTTGACGACGTTGACGTACGTATCAATGATACACAGCATCAGATCCTGTTCGTCTATAATGTCAGCACCAGCACGTCATACTAGTTTATATATGGTACTATATATATATAGTACCTATATACTCTACGCAATTAAGCTAATTTAGGTCTCTAATTGCTAGTTTTAATGATTGTATCTGATATTGTTAGGCGAAAATAGCCTGCATGCCGAATTTCAGATCTATAGAGCACTCAGAAGTGGGCTAATTTTCATTGTCAATGTTAAAAACAATCAACAAACAAAGCCACAAACAAACAAACGCAAAGCTAAGAAAAACGTGTTAAAAAATAGATTCAGTACCATAATCAGTAGCTATCTGAAGTTTCAATTGACAACCAAAATGACTGTGGTGGGTGGCCTACAGTGGCCATAATGTTAATGTGGGTATAATTGCATTATCAAAATAAAATTTTATGGCCCAAATGTTATAGGTTTTATCAAAGATTTGTCAATTGTCACCAAAACTCTAGTAAAAATACATGCAAAGAGGCATTCAAAGAGAAATGGTTTGGCTATTGCTATTGGCAAGATCATATGAACTTATGAAGGCATTGATTATATCATTGTAAACTAAAGCCGGATGGATCCATAATAGTGAAGTGAAGCTAATGAGAAAATATGGAAAAAACTTCTACAATAAAAATGGTATTTATAATTCTCCTGGTTTGCATATTTCTAGGCTAGGTACCATCAAACAGGGACTAATATGTCGAAATATCATAATATGGGATGATTTGGAGCGTTTTTCATTGATAATTTCTTACCATGAAACATTTCATAAACAAATTTGAACTCATTTTAAAGCTCTTTGCAAGGGCTATTGTATTGCATCTTCAAAAAATTCCATACCATCAACCGGGGCTACTCGGGACAGATTTGAACGATTAGTTTTAAATAACAGTTAATAACTTCTTACGATGAAACATTTCATAAACAAGTTTAGTCTAATTTTATAGCTGATTGGCAGGGCTATCATACGTTTTCAAGCCGACACCTGGGTGCAACTTTTATGTAAGTACAATTTTTTAATACGGCAAATATTTTTTTTGCTACATACCTTAGCAGTTGTAACTTTACAAAACATAGTTTTTCACCATTTTTTTCAGGAATTTTTCAAAGCAAGTAAATGTAGTATTTTTCAACTTCCTTTATACTAGATAGATAGGAAAAATAGTTACATTTACGCCACTATTTTTAGTTTTGTGATATTCCAATTAGTTTTGCTACTACAACAGCTTTATGCCGTGTCATAGGCCTGTCCCGAGTAGCCCCGCATGTCCCGGGTAGCCCCGGTTGACGGTACCCATGCTATTCCTAAGGAATTTCCTTTCCTAAGCAGGCATGGAATGTATCTACTTGGCAAGCCACGACTGAATTTTTCGAGCCGTGGTTTTATGGAGTTGCCAGCCGTGATTCCATTTCTTCGAGCCGTGATTCCATTTTACCTAGCCGTGAATTCCAATCCATATCTCGGCCATGAAAAGCCATTTATGTGGCGCGAATTTATTTACAAAGTCCATGTACGTGTTACCCCAAATCTCTAATTTTACCCTAAAACAGTCAAATGGCAACAATAAAATTTGTCTTTACTGTAAGTTGAGCACATGTTAATGCAGTCTGACCGCTTTGACATGACCGTAACTATGCGCAATCTTTAACAAAACGTTTAGTCAATTTGTTTACATTATGATGTTTATGTTTTTTCTGCAGGATATTTTGGCAGGAACGGTAAAGCAATGCAGATTGCGGAAGTTGAAAATTTTATGAAGTGACATGTTTGTGAAGTGCAAACCGCGATTTTTCAATTAAACAAAAAATTAATGACATTCGAGCCGCGAGATTTCATACCTACTGAAATAATACGATATTAGAGCCACGATATTTCGGACAAAAATTGAACTTTTCCAGCCCTGTTCCTTTGTTTGGCTATTCCTTGTTTTTAATTAATAAAATCAATTATTTTTTTTTGTTGGAATGGTGAGTGTGGGAGGCCTTTAAAAAAAATTCCTAAGGTGCCAGACGCAAAAGAAATGCCTTCCGAATTACACCTGAATTTATCAGATACAAATTCCGGGAAATTTTAAAACGTCCTATTCTCTAACCGGGACGTCATAGTGGCAAAGCAGAGACTTTTTCAGATTCTCCCTCAAGTTCGTTTTTGAGTTCTATAAGTAGACAGTAAAGTATCATGGATACCAGCATTATCATACATAGGAAATTGGTTTAAGTCTTGAGTAAATGAGGAAATTAAAAATGAACTGATTCTAAAGAATCTCTGGTTTGTCACTATGCGGGACGTCTCATCTCGATATCGTCCCGACCCAGAAATCATAGCCTATGCCATACGGAGTTCTGAAAATTGTCACGATTTTTATTGCGAACCGTTACAATGCTTCTTGTCTCGTCTAGAACGGAAAAAAGTTCCAAACGCAGGAGTCTACTAGTACTACTCAGTTTAGGTAGGGTATATTCCAACACATTAAGGACGCATCGAGAAATGAAAAACTATAAAAAAAACCGTATGCATTACGTAAGTTCTGTTGCCTTCACAGGACTCTCAAAACACTTCACTACGCGTCAGCAACAATGAAACATCACAAAATGTTGCCATATTTATTAAAAAGCCTTTAGAATGGAAACCTACCAAATCCCTATATTCCGTCACTTTGTGTGGCAATATTCGACACGTGGTGAGTCGTATTGCGTCAGCGCTTCAAATTTAACTGATACGTAT